GGCCGCAGGCAGCGGGCGCACGGCGAGCCCCAGGGCCACCGCCACGAGCCCCACGGCCACCACCGCGGGGAGGCCGCCCGCCGAGAGCCACCCCAGGAGGCCGCCGAGAGCATCCATGTGGGAAGCAGCCACGTGCCAGCCCCGCAGCACCAACACAGGTGCTGCTACAAGCAGCCCGAGTTATATAGGGGCAGGGTGAGGGGTGGGACTCGCTTTAAAGGTTTGACACGAGTTGCAAAGCCAAGGGCCATAAAGCAGAGTCCCGCTTAACCTTGACACCGGCAGCGAGGAGGACAAGATGACTCTCTCTTCTTACCTTTTATTTCTTCTGCCTGACAGCTCCACCTTCCGAACAATGTGCTGCCTGGATAATGACTGACAGCAGTGGGAATAGATAGGATGCAGCAAGCTCCGGCCTCAGGACAAATTTAGCTGCTCGATGTTTTATGTTTGAAGTGTGTTTCCCTAGATAGTAAAACAAGAAGTATTTCCTTTAAGGGAAATATTTGGAATTTCCTGAATAAAAAAGTGAGTGTAACTACAGTGTCTTTAATTTTGGCGGGGACAAAAGTGAGGCACTGTATTTGTTGGCAACAGCACAGATTCTGGTGAGCTTTGTGGGTTAATCTGTGTGGATTTCTCAGCCACAGGAGTTTCAACAAAAGGCCAAGAATTCCCTTCCCTGCTTTAGTGCCTGTCTCGGGGTATTTACCTATCCCATATTCACAGCAATACTATTCTTACAGCTAACTGAAATACAAAGGGGTTTCGATGATAGGGAGAGGCTGAGGGCAAGGATGAAAACAGGCTTTTGGTAGGAGTAGCTCCTTTGCAAGGGCATTTTGTCAGGAGATCAACACCTGAGGTGAATCTTCAGTTGACCTTCACTGACGACATTAACCTTAGTTTTGACAGGAATCATTGGTTCAAAACCCAGAGCAAGCTGAAAAAAAACATCCAAACAATTACTGGTGTTGTCTCAAAGTTATTTTAACAATAAGAAAATAACGCTTTTAAACCGATCTAGCTAAAAGGATTGATATACAATTTAGACACTTTTACCTCTTGTTTAAAAATCCCTGCTAATCGGTTTGAGAGATGAGTCCAAGTTATCACATAAGCAGCTAACACGATTCAGCTTCTTTTCAGAAAGAAGATGTACTGTTGACCTATTTTAATCTAGATAGAGACTGAAAGATTGAACTGCAGGGCGTAAACCTAACATGAGATATAAGTACATCTCCATCCCATTATTCCTTGGGGTTTTATGGGATGGTAAATCTGTTAACTATAAATTTTTATAGCCTGTAAAAATGTTTACCTACCTCTGTATGTAGTTTACATTACAGATGAGGCCACTTTTTTAAAGGAAAATTTTCCTAAAAGTCTGTTCTCCATTCATGATTACTATGAGCAACTCTCAATCATTCCTCTTGCATGGCAGAGTGCATAGAGTGTGGACTAATTATTTTCATTTCTCTTTGTCATTTGCTGCTTCTGCTTTTATTAGCCTTATGAGGGGAATTATACTTGAGGTCAATTACTCTGTGTCCTTGGTTAAAGGTTCTTCTTCTTAAAGACTCCCCTTGGAGCCTTCTGTTTTCCCTAGCTAAGGGTCATTGCTGTCTGGTTTCGGTGCTCAGCGATGTGCTGGCATTTAAAGTGTCACTGCTCCCACTGGAGGATTCTGCACGCAGGAGCTTTGGCAGGGGGGGAAAACCAGCGGGATGAGCCACATCCACCCTGCCACCCACCAGGGGAAGGTGGGTGATGGCCAAATTGCGAGGACGGCGCGTGGGGTCCCCACACAGCAGCCCCCGTGGGAGCCTCTGCTGCTCCCTCCACCCCATGTCCTCGCTCCCATCTCCCTGCACACACATATAGAAGATACGCACGGAAGGCATGGGAGATTTCTGGTGAGGAGCTGACCATGTGTTCACCCTGCAGCACATGAATAAAATTATATATAAATCCATACCTGGCACATACGAGGAGAGATGTTACCATTGAAAAGGAGCATGTGATCTAACCTGGCCGAGGTGCATTAATTTCAGTGCCCACCTGCTGTACCCTCAGCCCAGCCTGTACTTCTCAGACTCCAACAGAGACAGGATGCTGGATGAGGTTTTTTCAGCAATTTTGCAGTGAGACGACTTTTAATTGTTTAATTTCCACCATCCACCTTAAGAAAGCATACACTTTTTATATCTACCAATTTGGTACATCTCCAGGTCTCACTGCTGTACATTAACACAAGATTGCAATTGAGTCTGCATTATTTCCTGCTTCTCTACGTGTCTGTTCATGTTATGAATATACATCCTTATCTCACTCCCATCTTGATCAGTCTGCTGGCAAAGACGGGGCTCCTCCGAATTATCATTCTTTCCAGATGTTTTCTGCCTTATAAAAGGATGTTGCTTCAACATGACATCTGACCTGCAAGAAGGACTGGTTTGGGTTAATCAATTTTGAGCTAAGCTCAATCTTCTATTTTGCTAGGATATTCGTCTTTTTAGAAACCTGATGCAATAACTCAGTGCACTGTCCCTTTATGCTCTAGACATCTACATATTCTATACAGAAGGCTGAGCACTGCTTCCATAGTCAGGCTATGACAACGATAAAAGCAGATGAGAAAAGACTCGGCCCAGTCTCCTGGCTAAGCTGTTCTGTTGTCTCCTTACTTACCCTCACAAGGCACTCTGATCTCCATGCACTGATTTGAGAGTTTTGTGGGCTTTGACTGGGACTTTGCAGAACCCAAGTGTGCTCCACAGTCCAAGTCTCTTCATGCTACAAGCTATCTTTTGGAAGTCAATTAACGCCATAATGAAATAATGTGCCTTTTATGAAGAATGGGCCTTCCACGGTACTCTGCAGTATGAATATCCAGTCTCTACATGATGTCTGGAGTCTGAATCACAACTTTTTAAAATGTAATGCCAACATCTTTTTCCTGGTAATGAGCGTTCTTCCGTCTTGCTTCTTATGTCTCCATTTCCATGGCCACTAGACCATCAGCTTGTCTGTTATCTTTCCTTGCATCATTTTGCATTTCTTTGGCCAAACTTCTCTTGTGCTTTTTGTCTTTTTCCAGTAAAATTCACCAATTGATATTTTTTCTTTCTGCATCTCCTCTTCATCTGCGTGTGACATCCAATACTTACCCAATATTCGTTTTATGTCGATATTCTTCTGTCCCTGCTGTAACATGAATTACATTGTCTGCAAGCACTAGCCACCTTTCTTCGTGTCCAATCTCTATCTCAGTTTCCTCTGTCTCTGACAATCACAGATTTGTTTTTCAGCTAAACCGGAGTTTCTCACAGAACTCTGTAGTGTTCAGTTTTGCTCTATTTTGTTTAATGATTCAGACTTCTGCTTTTCTGACAGTCACAGATTTGATTTTCAGCTGAAACCGGAGTTTCTCACAGAGCTCTGTAGTGTTCAGTTTTGCTCTCTTTTGTTTAATGATTCAGACTTGTGAAGCTGCTGTGGGATGCAGCAGCTCTTGCTCCTGAGCACCTCTGCTTCAGGTGCCTTTGTAGTTTGGGTAGGGGATAGGCATTTTAGGTTCTGCAGGGAGGTTCTTGGCTAGGAGGCTTTTCTTGGGAAATAAAATCAGCAGAAAATAGGTCAGAATTTATTTCAGCAAATAGATGATTAACCAAGTTAGGAAAAAGATTCTGAGGAAAAAAATATATATGTATAAGCAGAAAAAATATTAAATTATTTACTTGGATTGACTTCTGAGAGTGCATACACGACTTCGTGCATTTGGATTTTTGCAGGCTTACGGGCAACACAAACAGTCCGCAGGCTATAAGTCCTGAATGCAGAAGTTATTGAACTTGCATACACAAAACCCATTTGGGCAAACAGACTTTGCACTTACAAATACTATTGAACTTTCATGCAAGGGTTGAGATAATCCTCTGCCTTCAGAGAGTTATCTATTCACATACTTAACCTGAAGCACATGAATTGTCCCAGTAAATGCAACAAAACCATTCATCTGCCTAAAGTTAGGAATGCAGCCAAGCACCTTTGTGAATTAAGATCTTTGGGCACAGTACAGACATGTACTGAATAAAGGCAAAGAAAAGGTTATGTGCAACTGAAAAAAAGGCTGGGTAACCTCTCCTTTTCTTCTGTACTATTCTATACTTCTATACTATTTCATTAATACACACACAGGGAAAATAATTCCTGTAGAATCAAGAATATATCTACTAAGAAAAAGAAAAATGTTTTACCTCTCATTTATTGGAGATTTTGCCTTTAGAAATATAGTAGCAGATGGTAAATTCAGAGATAGGCAATAAATCCTGACCGTGAAGAATCAGCTATTGCTAACCTTAACGTCAGTTTTTGATTCTAATCCTAAAACTAATAATAACAATTACTTCTTCAGCTAAAACTGTTACTTTTTCAAGTGACAGAACCTCAGAATGAGGAATTTCAGTACTGATGGTCAAGCTGGACATATAAATCCTTTTGGTAGGTACCCCATACGACCTTAAAAACCATCGCAACTTCTACTTTTTTACCTGAATGCAATGACTGCAACAGCTAAATTTCTGAAGCAGTAAGCCTCATATGTTTACATGCCATATGAAATAAAGCCATGGGCCATAATTTATGCATTGCTATTTAGATGAACCCTAATCACCCTTTGTAAATGTTCTGCGATAGACAAAACATCTTAAATCAAAGGAATCATTAAGATTATAAGCACTCCGCTCCATCTGCAAGGAATGTTTCCCCCTGTAACTCCACAGATGTCTACACCTCCCTGAGCTTTCAAGAACAGTTAAAAGTGGATTGCACTCTTTCCAACATAAGTCATTTTTTATCAACCCAATTCTCACTATTCTCCAACAAGAGAATAAAATCAAAAAACTAAAGGCAATTAGTTACTCTTTAGAAAGCTGGCCAGGAATCATCTGTATGTTATCCTCATGAGAAATCACACTTGCCTGCCTTTCTTCTGTCATCTGATAACATGAAACGGCTTGTACAGAACCATCAGTGTTAGAGAAAGAAGAAAAGGCATCAGTTTATCTTAGTCCACTTCTCTGATAGCCCCTCTATGCTAATATTTCCTTTGGTATGTTCAGTCTTGGTAAAATTCCAGCCTAAAACTGCTCATAAT